GTCATTAAGAACAAGAAAACATAGAAGTAATAAAGCCCAAAACAGAGTAAAGCGGGATTCTTGAAATCACAAACATTCACATTCACATCCTGTAATCTATAAGAGTTACTTGCTCAACCAAGAACATTATTATAAAAATAAAATTGCATGTTTAGACTTTGGCAAAATTATCACTACTCGCCTTAGTGCCAGTACTTATGGTGGAATGACCCGCGCGCGCACTCGGACAAGGACCACCAGCATCCACCTAAAGCCAAACAAAAAATAAAAATAAAACAAAAAAAAAAGTTAACAAACTTAATCATGATAGGATTGCCAAAAAAAGGAAAAAAAAAAATTCCAAATTGACAAACATTAGGAACTGAATTACCCTCAACCAAATTAACTTGTCGACATTGAGCACCCAAACATCCTCTTGGTACCTATCTCCCAAGCCCCCACCAAACACATACAGTCTGCCTCCAACGGCCACCGAGCTCTGGCTGCCACGGGCCGGAGGCCGCCACCCCCGAAACCTCCGGGGCGACCACACCATGCTCGTCAGATACAAAATGTGCAAGTCGTTCAAATAGTTGGCCTCCCCCTCCCTACTGCCCCCAAATACGACCAGCCAGCGTTCCCCAACCACGGTCGTCGTGTGTCTCTCACAGCCGGCGGTGGGCTCCCACGGCACTCGGGCAGGGCCCACCCTGTGGTCATCAGAATGAGTCATCGGAGGTTGTTCACCTTCCGCGAGCCGTAGTTGCCACCAGAGACAAACATGCAGTGGCCCACGATGCACGCGTTGTGGCTGTCACGAGGGCCCGACTCGGCACTTGACGTCCGGTGGACACTCCAAGCCACTGTCGAGAGGTTGCTGACCAAAAAGTCGAATGCTTTAAAACAATAAAGCTTCATGCAGAAAGATTATAATTATGAAAAAAATTAATTTGATATGTGCACATACAAACTAATACATATATATCAAACATATTTCGGTATTGCATAAGGTTGAGAGTTAGAACATACCTTGGCATCAACATCTCATGTAACTTCAACTTTACCATAAATTTTGCATTACCACGAAGGATAATATCAGGCCCACGACCAGCCATATTCGTTGCAATAGTAACTGTCCCAAGACGACCGCTTTGAGCTACAATTTCCGCTTCTCTTTCTACATTTTCTGGTTTGGCATTCAAAACCTAGTAATATTACATGAAATGAGAGTCTCGAAAAAAAGCAGAAAATATGATAGTTTTGATCATTCACCTCTCACAGTGCAAGCATAAAATGCAATTTTTTTTTCAACAAACCTCATGTAAAACTCCAGCTTTACGGAGCTGGTTCGAAAAAAAAAAAAA